GACTCTGTTGTCTTGCTGCCCAGCCAGCGCCGGGGGGGCGCGTGGACCGTCGGCGGATGAGGTGGGGCTGCAGGGCTTGTCAATGGCCTCGGGGCTGCCGGAAGAGTCGACCTGTAGCACTTGCGGTTCCGAGCTCGGGGTCGGGGACAGGGCGACAGGTGCCCCTTGGCGGCCCCGCCGAAGGGCGGGTTTGTCGTCGTTGGAGCCAGCCAACGCGGCGTCGGTGGCAGCGCCCCCGCGACCGGCGGTGTCGTCGTCCCCACTGGCGACGGGGGGGGGGGGGCCAGGTTGGTCTCTTGCGGGGGGCCCTGGCGGGGATACTTTTTTCGGTCGCGTCCACCAGCGAAGGCGCCAGCGGAGTCAGAAGGGCCCCGGGGCACGGTAGCGGCCTAATAAGCTGCTTTTAAACGCGCCGCAGGCCGGCCGGCCCACTCACCAAGCAGCGGCAGGCTGCGCGGGAGAGCTGGCAAGCTGAGGGCGTCCAGGGGAGCCCAGGCACTTGCAGCCCAGCATAATGCTTGGGAATTTAAGGTGTGCCGTGGGGCAAGGCCCGCTCGAAGCAAGAGGACGAGTGCGGCGATGACTGCGAGTCCAACATGCCCATAGGGCGCCCAGGGTTAGTAAGCGATGGGCGAGTCGCCAGTGGGGCGACAAGCCCAGGTCGCGCCAACGGCGCCTGCGAGCCCGGTGAGCTGAGCTGCCGAGGAACGTCGCAAACCAGCCTGGAAAGTGGGAGAGGGCCCGGGGGGGCGGCCGCGGCTGCGAAGGCTGAACCACTCGAGACCAGCACAAACTCCAAGGTCCACTATCTCGTGCACCACGGGGAAGGCCCCGAGCTCCAGGGGGCCGACCCTCCATCAGCTGCGCGATGGTCGCCGACTGATGCACTGCGTGAGAGAAGCCAGGCCGGCGGGGATAAACATCGCCAACGAGGCAGGGGAATCCAGGGTAGAGCTGCACGACAGCCGCCCGAATTACGGAAGGGCGGCCACCGTCGAGGCACAACCTTACCCGTCGTATCTGCCATTCCCGCGTGGATCCAGGGGCGCAGCTAACCGCCGCTATGAGTGAGGTAACGTTACCGCCATCAGCGCGGGGTCCTGGTCAGCCCTGGGGTGAGGGGACGATCACCCCTCGATCCAGGGGTCTGCAAGCCTGGCAGCTGCCCAGCCCGGGAGAGACCCGAAGGGAGGGACGGTGCGGACAGACATCACCGGCCCTCCACGCCGAGGGGCTCCCCAGGGACACTTGGCGAGAGAGGGGGACACCGAGAACGTCCACCTCGCGCTCCAGGGGCAAGTGAACCGGGCAGCAGCCCCGCCCAGGAGGGACCCGAGGAGAGGGGCGGTGGGGGGACAGACATCACCGACCCTCCACACGGTTCCCAGGGGGACCTGGCGGGGCAGGGGCGCCGAAGCCAGGGCCCGAGCTCCAGGGAGGCAGCGAACGGATGCTCAGGGTCCGCTGCGCTCGTCCAGGGTGGCCTTCGGCCTCTTCCGCTTCGATGTCCAAGGGAAGGCCGGGGTGACGGCCGGCTGCCGTCTGAGGTTAGAGCTGCCGAGGCCCGGGTATGAGAATCAAGTGCACGACAGCCGCCCGCATGAATAAGGGCGGTCACCGTCGGGGCACTGCCTTACCCGTCGTATCTGCCATTCCCCGCGTGGATCCAGGGTCGCAGCTAACCGCCGCTATGAGTGAGGTAATTACCGCCGTCAGCGCGAGGTCCTGGTCAGCCCTGAGGTGGGGGGACGATTACCCCCGCGATCCAGGGGTCTGCGAGTCTGGCAGCCTGCCCAGCCCGGGAGAGACCCGAGGGGAGGGGCGGAGGGGACAGACATCACCGGCCCTCCACGCGGAGGGGCTCCCCAGGGACACCTGGCGAGTGAGGGGGACATAGAGAACGACCACCTCGCGCTCCAGGGGCATGTGAACCCAGCAGTCGGCCCAGCCCAGGAGGGACCCGAGGAGAGGGGCGGTGGGGACAGACATCACCGACCCTCCACACGGATCCCAGAGGGACCAGGCGAGGGGGCAAGGGCGCCGAAGCCAGGGCCCGAACTCCAGGGATGCAGCCAACTGCTGCTCAGGGTCCGCTTCGCTCGTCCAGGGTGGCCTTCGGCCTCTTCCGCTCCGGTGTCCCAGGGAAGGCCAGGGTGACGGCCGACTGCCGTTTGAGGTGCTGTCGGCATCTGTCCCCGGGAGTAGGACAGCAGCCCGTGTGAGAGACAGATGGGCGTGCCAGCCACATGCATGAAGTACGGAGGGGCGGTCACCGTCGGGGCACTGCCCTACTCGACGTATCTGCCATTCCTCGCGGGGACCCAGAGTCGCAGCTAACCGCCGCTATGAGTGAGGTGATATTACCAGCGTCAGCGCGGGGTCCGGGGCTCCCCAGGGACACCTGGCGAGTGAGGGGGACATAGAGAACGGGCGCCTCGCGATCCAGGGGTATGTGGACCCGGCAACCTGCCCAGCGCAGGAGGGACCCGAGAAGAGGGACGGTGGGGACAGACGTCACCGACCCTCCACACGGAGAGGCCCCCAGGGAGTCCAGGCGAGGGGGCAAGGGCGCCGAAGCCAGGGCCCGAACTCCAGGGATGCAGCTAACGGCTGCTCAGGGTCCGCTTTCACTCGTCCAGGGTGGCCATCGGCCTCTTCCGCTTCGATGTCCAAGGGAAGGCCAGGGTGACGGCCGGCTGTCGTCTGAGGTGCTGTCGGCATCTGTCCCCGGGAGTAGGACAGCAGCCCGTATGAGAGGCAGATGGGCGGTCCTCGTCAGGGCTATGTCTCGTGCCCGTAATTAGTCTCTGCTACTCCCCGCCTGGATCCAGGGTCGCGGCTAACCGCCGCACTGAGTGAGTGAAGACGGAGCGGCCAAGGAGGGGGCGATCAAGGGGCAGAGCACCCCCAGGGTAGACGCAGCCTGCTACGGATCTGTTGTCCAGGGGGGCCGTACCTGCTGCAACGAGAGAGGGCAGCCTCCCACCGCTGTCACGCCTCTCCGTTTCAGAGTGCACGACTGCAACGGCACGGGGCTGATTTCTCTTGCTTCCAGGGTGGCCGCGGCCACTACAGCCCCGAGTCCGATGCGCTGTCCGTCGGGGAGCGGGCGGGAGCCGCCTCTGAGCACGGGCCTGCCCTCTGCGGCACTCGGGCACGGGGAGGCGAGGGTGCCTAGAACGCCCGCGGACGCAAGGCCGGAAGGGGGCGAAGGGACCCCAGACGGACAGCCGGCGCCGAGGAGGGCAGAGGCACTGGGATGCAAGAGTACCTTGAGCCCCCGCGGATCCCTCCCCGCCGGGGGGGGCCACGGAACCGGCACCCAGGGATACGGCCGCTGGCCCAGAGCTCGCGGACAACGTCGGGGCACTGTCTTACCCGTCGTATCTGCCATTCCCCGTGGGGATCCAGGGTCGCAGCTAACCGCCGCTATGATTGAGGTAATGTTGCCGCCGTCAGCGCGGGGTCCTGGCCAGCCCTGTGAGAGGGGGGGGGAGGGCAGAGTAGATCCAGGGTCGCAGATAACCGCTGCTCAGTGTTGAGATCGCCGTCAGCGCTGGGTCCTGGTCTACCCCGTGAGTGGGGAGGGAGGGCAGTACGGGTGGGGGTCGGGGACCAGGCAGGGTCGGGGGGGGGGCCAGTTGCGCCTCGCCGAGAGGCGTCCATGGGGTGCCCAGATCGGCCCCGGACGGCCGCCAGAGAGCCGAGCTGTGATCCGAAAACCGAAGGGCAACGTTAGGGGAGGTAGGCGACGATAGATGTACGTCGCCACCGCCCCTGGTCAGGCCCACCCTGGGTCCAGGTGCGGTGTATGGTGTATACGCCCTCCTGGCACCAAGAGGAAAGGATCCAGGTGGAATGTGGCACTTTTGGTGTGCAGATGGGGAACAATAGAACGCGACTAAAACGGTCACGGAAAGGAGTTCCTGCGAGCCCCAAGCGGCGGCGGCGGCGGCGTCTTGACCGAGCGCCCGTGGAGCGCCGAGACGCGGGACCGCAGCTAGGGAGGGAGGGACCGCAGGACTCCCGGAGCGCACTCCCCAGGTGCGTGTCCTCGGCGCGTCCCCGGCCCGGGATGTAGCACGGCAGGTTCGTGTCGTGCTGACCCCGGCGTTGGTTCTTGACAGCGCGGGGATCGTTCAACCTAGAACGACTGGCCGCTTCCGAAACGTCAGATCGTTCAACCCACTCGTCAACCCTTCCATCCATCCATCTTCTTCGTCGACGTTTCACCTGTGCAGCAACCCGGCCTCACTGGAGGCCAGCGCGTTTGGCGCGCCTGCCGCCCTTGTAAGGTCGCCCCGCGGCGATGCCAGAATTCCGTTCCGTTCCGTTCGGACCGTTCAACATCGACCGATTCTGGGTCGTCGGCGGCGTTCGACGTTTCACGCCAGCGGCGAGTTCGCCGTCAGTCGACACGACGCGAACCTACCATTCCCAGATCTCCGACGGTATGACTTTTTCAACGGGCGATTTTGTTCACGATTTCGTCCTCGCGGGCTGGTTGTCGGGCCCCGAGGCCATCAAAAACGGGCGCGGGGCGCAAAACCACCCCCCGGGCAAAAGGGTCGGGAACTCTGTGAAGCCGCGGACTGACAGAGGTCATGCCTGAGGATGTCTGCGCTGGGCCCCCAGCGCGGGCTGCGGCACACACGACTTCGCCCGAGCACGCCCACTGATGATGATGATGATGATGATGATGATGATGATGATGATGATGATGATGATGGTGGTGGTGGTGGTGATGATGATGATGATGATGATGATGATGATGATGAGCCCCACAGAGACTCGGACTGCATGCATCCCGCAGCCCCGGGGCGCGCTCCGCGCCCAGGAAAAACGGCCCCCTCGTCTTCGACGAGCACGCCCGCCCTCGCCGCGACGCCCGCCCCACTCGAGGGCGGCGGCCTCGGCGCCGCAGAGAGGCGCGAAGGTGCCGGAGGACGCCCCCCGCGCTGCCATGGCGCGCGCGCGCGCGCTCGCCGCGCCCGCCGCGCTCAGGGCGCCTCGTCTCCGACGAGCATGTCCGCCCACGTCATGTCGCCTGATGGGTATGTTTTCCACCACCACCACCATAAGTTGGAGGGGGGAGGGAGGAGGAGGAGGAGGAGGAGGAGGAGGAGGAGGAGGAGGAGGAGGAGGAGGAGGAGGAGGAGGAGGAGGAGGAGGAGGAGGAGGAGGAGGAGGAGGAGGAGAGGAGGAGGAGGAGGAGGAGGAGGAGGAGGAGGAGGAGGAGGAGGAGGAGGAGGAGGAGGAGGACACCCTCCCCCTCCAACTTACGGTGGTGGTGGTGGTGGTGGTGGTGGAAAACAGGCCCATCAGTCGCCTGCGTCCCGGGACGCCCTCGGCGCCGCGGTCAGCGAGTCGGCGGACGCCCGCCTGGGCCGCGGGCGGGCGGGGGCGGCCGAGAAAGCCTCGAGGACGGCGCCGTTGCCGACGAGTGTCGAGGTTCCGGAGGGCAGGTCGGGGCGTCCCCGTCGCCGCGCGCCTCGGAGACCTCGCCTGGGTAGACCCTGAAGGGGCCCGGGGGCCCCAGGCAACGTGAGCGTTTTCTCATTCGGCGTATCGACATTGGGCGGGAAGGGGGGGGGTCTGCCTCCGGACCTCTGCTTGACGTGTCTGCTCGCAACAGTGCGCCCCCGGGGGGGACTCCACCCGCTCGAAGCAGGCGCCCCCCAAAAATACAGCCAAGGTCTGCTCCATGATGGGGGGGGGGGAGGGAGGGCGCGAGGGCCCGCGCCGATCGGCAAAAACAAAAAGATCACAACGCCAAGTGAGGTGGAGGAGGGCACTTCTGGAGGTCCCCGTCGCCGCGCGGCTCGGAGAGCGTGCCCGAGCGGGGACCCGAGCGGAGTCCCGTCGGGCACGGGGCGAGGGGGGCTGCCTGCTGAGAAGGCCCCGGGGGGGGGTCTCTTGGAAAGAGCCAGCTCCCGTGTGGGGGGGGGGGGGGGGGCTGGTATCTCCGCGTGATGCTTCCGCTGCTCAAGGGGCGGATACAGACAGGCGTGGTGGAGTGCCACAGTAGGCGCGTGCGAGGAAGAAGTCTTCATACGAAGGGCGTGGGTCAGCATCTTCGTGGATCTATGAGTGTCCAGACGTGCCCCGCAGCTTGATGTGGGTCCTTGGGTCCACCGAGGCATCAGGCATTTCCGTGGGGCACCTGCTGGCAGGCTGACTTCTTGCTCGATGTGCCTACTGCCATTGCTCGAGCTCGTGCTGAGATGCTCTTGGGCCATATGAGAGGGCCGAGGAGGCTTCCGAGAAGGCGGCAGGGCTTCCGAGACGCGAGGGGGGGAGGGCGCACCGCGAGGCCTGGCCAGAGGCACGGGTATCAGCTGCTCGTGCGGCGGCCACGAGCGGCCCGCAAACCCGGAGCTCGACGCGATGCCGTTCATGAGGCGGAAGAGCTCCAGCACCTCGGGGACGCCGCCGCGCCCCTGCTCCAGGGCGGCCCGTGGCCCGCCCGCCCCGATCCCGATCCCTCCGCCCCCCGCGCCGCCGTCGAAGGCCGCCGAGGGCCGCTGAAGGCTGCCGCAGGCTGTCCGCGGCCGCCGAGGGCCGCCGGCGGCGGCGACCACCGAGGACGCGATCGACCGACGGACCCGCCAGGGCAGCCGCTCGATCGGCGCCGGCTGACGCAGCGGGGCCCTCCGAGTCTGGCGCCTTCTCGAGGGGGGTCGCCCCCTGCTGGCTGCCGTGCAGCTTCTGCGCGAGCAGCACCAGCACGAGCTCCAGCGTCGCGGCCGACAGCTCCGCGTCGGAGCCGCCGCTCCTGCAGCCCTCGTGGTGGATGCAGTCCTGGAAGGCCCTCTGCACCGTCAGCGGGCCCAGCTCCTTCCACGGCAAGGCTTCGGGTTGCCCCAGACAGCCCCCCCGGTTGTCTCAGCTGGCCTGGTCAAGACCCCCAAGTCGCTCGGGGCGGTCTCGACACCCTGGCGCCGCCTCTGGCGGCGCCCCTTGGGCGCTCCGCGCCCCAGGGTTGAGGTGGTGAGACCACCCCGGGCTATTCGGGGGCCCTGCCGAGGCCAGCTGGGACTGCCTGGGGGGCCGCCTGTGCGCAACCCGAAACCTCAGTCCCTTCAGAGCCGACGTTGCGACAAGATTGCAGCATGGCGAGAAATCGTGACCAGCAGAGCCCTAGACCCCATCCTCCTGCGACGCTGTTCGAGCCAGATCGATATGTGATGGTCCTGGGGCCCAGAACTGGGCGAACACGCCCGCCTAGAAACAACTGGGATGCCAAGATCTCGGCATCCGCACTTCTCGGGGGGCCTGTCGAGCCCAGCCGGAACTACCAAAGGGGCCAATTGGCAAACCTATCCACGTAGGTGGAGATGTGTGATCCAGGGTTGCCCCCCAAAGCATATGGGATCGCGCGCCCCCCCCCCGATGGATGGGTACGCCAGTGAGCCTCGCGAAGACCTCGCGAGTTAGTTGGGTGGCGCAGTCGTGGCCCTGTGGGCGTGGCGGCATGGCGTGGAGGAGGGCGCCAGTGCACCCCCCCTCCCCCTGTGGGTATGGGGGGTTCGTCGTCGTCGTCGTCGTCGTCGTCGGCGGCGGCGGCGGCGGCGGCGGCGGCGTCGGCGTCGGCGTCCGCATCGGCGTCGTCGCCCTCACCCCCCGCCACATCTGGGGGGGTGGGTGGTTTTGAACCCTCGACCTTTGATCATACATGCCTGTTCCTTCGGGCTGTTTTTTCCGGGCCCATCCTCACGTGGGGCCATGGGCTGGTGGGGCTGAGGTACCATGACTCAGTGAGGATGGGGATACCCTGAGATCCGACGTTGCAAGAGAATTGCAACATCACAAAAATCACGACAGCAGCCCTGGACCCCCAATTTCTCATCGTTCATCGAGCCGGATCGATCTGTGAGGGTCCTGACATGGAGCGAGAACGCCCGGCGTGAAACAGTGGCAGCGCCAGGATCTCAGGGCAGGTCAGACGATGCTGCGCTCCTGCGACACGTGGAAGTCCTCTGCGAACCTCGCCGTCGCCTCCACGCTCCAGGCGGGCTCCCGCCCCGGCGCGGCCGAGGCGTAGGCGGCGAAGAGGCGCTCGACCCCGGGCCGAGCGCGCCGGAGGAGGAGCACGGCCTCCGGCGACTCCATCGTCCTGAGCAGAGGGCAGAGAATCCAGCCCCACAAAGACCATCCCGACAAGCGAGGCCGCTCAGCATGAACGCAGGAAAAACGCCCCCCGCCCCCCACATGAAGAACTCTAGCCTAGTGGGGCCGTCGGGCGACGCGTGAGCTGCAAGCGTAAACAGCTCGGCGGTCAGCCGACGACAACGCCGCGCAATTCAATGCGGATGGCGCGCTGCTGCTATGCTCGCTGGCGTTTGATGAACTTGGCGTTGCCTCGTGCTGGCACGCGGTCAATACCCAAAGTCATTGCGGATGTTCGCGCGCTCGCGCCAGGGCAAAAACCAGGGGGCGCGTCGGCTCTTGGCGACGCTGGCAAGAACCAGACGGCGCCCGGGGCCCGCCCCGCACGGGCGCGCATCGAACAGTGCAGGTCCACCCCAAAAACAAAGTTTAGGCACCAGGCGAGACAAGTTTATATAAACTCTATACCAAAGAAGGAATCGAACAGGGCACGGCTGTTCAGTAAGCGCCCAAGGCCGTTTAGTAAACGGCGATTGTAGGGTCCGGGTGGTTTTTCTTTCCCTGACTGAGGGACACGGGGGGGGGTCACGGGGGCAGGTGGCCCTGGCATCGAATCGATAATGCGAATCGGATCGACCCGAAGATCGGCTCGGCAGAAGCCGGCAGCCAAGTCGAGATCGACAGAAGCCGGTGGGGCCGAGTCGGATCGAATCGGACATCGACAAGATCACGGCAAGCCGGATCGGCATCGAAATCGGAAGGCCAGGATGGTAAAGGGGGAAGTTCCCCCCCCCCCAGGGCGGGGGGGACCAGCTCACGGGGCACTCTGACCGCGCGCGAGCCCCCCAACAAGAGCCTTGGGGAGACGGGGAGGCAGGGCACCCCTCCCCGCAGGCGAGAAGAGGGGCTTCGGAAGAGGACAGAAGGATGTCAGCAGACCGCCCAATTACGCCCACGGGGCTTGTGGGGTTCCGAGGAATCAGCGCGGACCGGCAACAACGTATGCTCGTACATGTGTCTCTTGCTCCAGAGAGGGGGGGCCAGCTCAAGGGGGGGGGACATCGAGCTGGAAGTGGCGACCCCTCGCCAAGGGGACCCACGTCTTGCTTCCGCCGCGCTCCGCAAGCCTTCCGCCCAACTCCTCCGACCATCGGAGGCAGGGGCGCCCCACATGGAACCCTGAGGCTCTCCCGAGCGACCCGCGACCTGTCGGGGAGAAAGAGAGGACGAGCTGAGGGGCAGCGTGAGGGGGTGAGGGGGGAGGGGCATGGCTCCGGGGGGGGGAGAGGCGGCATCGAGCGAGGATCGGCGGTGCATCTGGGCGGTTTCCCTCGATCTCGGCCTCCAGGGCCCTTTCTCGGGCCCCAGGACCATCAACAACGGACGCGGGGCGACAAACTGGCCCTGGGCAAGGGGTGGGGACCTCTGGGGCCGCGGACTGAAACGTCAGATCGGCCAGCGTCAGGGTCATTGGGGGAGCACCGAGCTGGAATCGGCGACGCATCGCCGACAGATCGGCGGCAGGCCCTCCACAGCGAATCCGCACGCCCCTGGGCGAGCTGGGCTGTCGGGCCGCTCACGGCGGTGAAGGGGGATTCGGGGTCCATGCGTTTCTTCCTGCCCCTAGCGCTGCCCCACAAGAAGGAGGCGGAGGATCTGCAATTAGAGAGAGGAGTGAGCATGAGCAGGGGGACGTGCTGCCTACTCCTGCTCGCTCCCCGCCGCTCCTCTCCTGCCGCCCCCCGGCGTTCCATGTGGGGGAAGCGCACATGACCGGCCGCGGCCCCCCCTCAGCGCAAAGCCACCCCCTAACGTTAGGTCTGGCGTGTCCTCCCACAGGCGGTTTCTGGACGAAAAACAACAAAATAGTCAAAACATATTCAAACAGTGTCCAAAATTGTCAAACAATCGTGCCCAGACTATTCTTTTACTATTTTTGAATATTCCTCCTGTAGAGGGACAGGCCCGACTTCACCCCAACGTTGCCCCTGACGTCCTCGCCGCGGCGGCGGCCTCGGAGCCCGACGCCTCCAGCAGCAGCTGGTTCAGGGGCCCCAGCACCTCTGGAGGGGGGCGACGGGAGACAACGCGATCGTTGTCTTGCTCGCTGTCTCGCCGATCGGCGCGGGCCCTCGACCTTGGCTGTTCTTCGGGCCTGTCTCGAGCAGGCGGAGTCTCCCCCCATAGGACGCACGGTTCCAAGCAGTGGCATCAAGCGGAGGTCCGGTGCCAGACACCCCCCCCCTCTCCCCCCCTTCCGCCCAGTGCCGAAACGCCGAAAAAGAAAACGCTCACAACCCCAGAGACCCGGGCGTTGCCTCTTGTTGAGCACCCGGCGCTTTCGCCCCGCTTCGGGCCCAGGGACCTTCACCTATGTCGGTCTGGCTAGACGGATGCCGCAGAAAGATGAGGTCCACAGGCTCTGGTCGTGATTTTGCTCGCAAGGTCCTTAGGGGAGGGCGAGTTGAGGCAACGGCCGTCGGCCTCTGGGGGGCCCCCGCCGCGGCTGGACGCGGCGCGGGGAAGCTGCTGCGCTCGTGCCCTGGAGGGGCCGGGACCCAGAGATCCGTCGTCGTGTTTTTTCAATGCGGGGTCTCTGGAAATTAATCGAGCGCGGTCCACTACTCGGAAAGTAACTGCTCGCAATTGGCCTGGACCCGCCGCGGGGGGTTCACGATTCAATGCAGCGAGGCAAAGCTGTGTTTTCTGTCTGACGTTTGCGAGTAGGCACTCTGCAAGTAGTGGAACGCGCTCGGCGAGAAGTGCCGACCCTCTCCCATGCACCACTCTTTCATCCTGAGTTGTTTTGTGATGGTCCCAAGGCCCGCCGAGGGCGTCCATGGAGGCCCAGACTAACCCAAAAACCCTCCGACCTGATTTTTGTCTCAACACTTCATGGATCTCTGGGGAGAACCTGCAGGATCCCCGGGCCCAGGCTAGCGCTAGCCTGGCGGGGCCTGAGAGGGTTGCGGGCACGCGCACGGGTGCCCACCACGTGGAGGAACTGGCCGCTGCGAAAGTGAGGTCCGGAACTCGAAGAAGCGCGAACACCCGATGGTTCAACAAGCCCATTCGCCGTCACCTTACCGCTCTTGCAGCTCCCGCGGGGGGGGGGAGCCCGCCCTTGTCTCAACCCGCCCTGCTCCGGCACCTGCCCGCAGAAGAGCTCCAGCGAGCTGCTGGCCGGGTCGGCGCCCGCTGGCCGGAGGTGCGGGGCGCACCTCTCGAGGAGCAAGCAGCATCAACTTTCGCAGGTCCGCCCGGGCTTCTTGGGTCGGCGCTTGGCTCCTCCTCCTCTTACTCCTCCTCCTCCTCCTCCTCCTTCTCCTCCTCC